AAGGGCTGTAGGAGGGACCCTTAATAGGGACCCTTGTAGGTTATTGGGGTTAATATGGAGACTACCTGGCTATATAAGGGGTATATAAGGACTATACATTGGTTATTTAAGGTAATGGGATTTAGGGTCCCTGTTTGGGGTCCCTCCTAAAGAACTGTGGAATCCCTGGGACTCTTCCGATTTAGGGTTTGGTCGTTCTTTGGAGGGTGCAAGGTTTAGGGCTTCGGGTGTAGGGTATTATATAGGTTTTCAGGGAGATTAGGTGCTAAATGGGTATAGGGCTTTGGGACGTGGGACTTCGGCTTGGGGTTTGTGGCGCTCGCCGTCCTGCAGCTTTACCGTACTAAGCTTGTAAGAACTCTGGCATGCAGCGTTCGGACTTTACGTTCTCTACGGCTGTAAGACAGGGTGTCGCCTGTAGCATTCTACTATGACATGCCCCACAAAACCCTATTCTCATTACCAAGGCCCCTAAACCCTAAATTGTGAGGCTGTAGGGTTGGGAAACCCGAAACCCGAAACCCTAAACCCTAAACCGTGGTGGGGTTGGGAATTTGGCTTCAGGGTTTAGGGTTTAGGGTTCCCTAAACCCTAAACCCTAAACCCTAAACCGAGGGTAGAGTGCGATCGAAAGTCTGAAGTCGAAGCTCGTAGGAGGCTTCTGCTTTCTGTGGGTTTGGCCTTCCAGGTTCTCGAACTTAGGCTTTGGGGGTTTAGGGGTTTAGGGTTTAGGGTTTAGGGAGTAGGGGTTTAGGGTTTAGGGTTTAGGGTTTAGGGTTTAGGGTTTGGATTTACTTGGAGGATCATGGGACTTCGTAAGTAAGGTTATGAGTCCCTTAATTGGGGTTATAAGTATAGTGACCCTGATTATAACCCTACTTACTAAGTCCCATGATCCTATAAGTAGCGTCTAGGCTTCGGATTTAGGGTTTAAAGGGGCCTTCATACGAGGTGAAGAGGTGGTTTACATGAATGGACGACAGTTTTTGGCTCAATTGCGGGTATAAATCGGTATGAAGCATACCAAGGCAGAGAATCTTAGTAAGCAGGAAGGAGGAGCGCAGTTACTGGATGACCCTAAACCCTAAACCCTAAACCCTAAACCCTAATTTAGGGTTTAGGGTTTAGGGTTTAGTAAACCCTATAAACCCTAAACCCTAACCTGAAGCCCAGGTGAATCAGCAACCCCAGCCCAAACGAATCCGCACAAGCCTTCTTCAACCCGAAACCCCAAAACGTACAACCCATAAGCCCGGTAAAATCCTAGCTTATAGTGCTTACAAGACCCCGTTAAAACCCCGTATAGCACCCTACAAAAGCTTAACAGCCTATCGCCCTCGCCCCCCCCTATCAAAACCTGAACCCCCTGTAATCTTTACACTTCGCATCCCTAAACCCTAAACCCTAGACCCTGAACCCTAAACCCTAACCCCTAAACCCTGCAGTCTTCACACTTCGCCATGAAGCGGCCCGCCGCGCGGAGCCGTGCCGACTCGAAGGGCCCCAAGGCCAAGGCGACCGAAGGGAGGGGAGAGTTCGGGTTAAGGGTTTTGGGTTTAGGGTTTAGTGTTTAGGGTTTAGGAATAGCTACACAATACTTTAGGGTTTTGGGTTTAGTTTTTAGGAATAGTTACATAATACTACCAGGTACTACCATTACCAATAGTATAGTTCGGGTTTTATACACAGCACGGGATCCTCGGGGCTGACTAGGTAACCTTGAACCTTTTGGGGCTTAGATACTCCTACTCTACCTCAAAAGGTTAACCTTTTTTTTTGGGCTAGGGTACTCAGCCCCTAAGGAAGAGTTGCATCAAGCTACCAGTAGTGTCTGCGCAAAGTCCGCTTACAAGTATATTGTAGTATAGTGGAAACAAGTCAGGGTTTGGGGCTGAGGAGAGAGTACCGAGAGATTTACGCACCCTAAGACACACGTAGGGATCATTTGTTTGTGTGGGTGTCCGCACTTTCATAACTTGCATACATAAATACATAAATACATACATACATACATACATACATACATACATACGTACATACGTACATACGTACATACGTACATACGTACATACGTACATACGTACATACGGACGGACATACATACATAGGTACAGGCATACAGACATATATACATACGTACATACATACATACATACATACATACATACATACGTACTTACATGCCGTATGTATGTGACAGATGGATGGATGCGTGATGGATAGACAGAAAGAGACGTA